CTTGTGTAACTCTTCCCTTTCACGCGCTTCCCGTTCATGTCAGGAAAGGTTTTGAAAACGAGCGTTTCGCTCGAGACATCCTCCCAACATCGAGAAGTTTGGGGGTCGTATCTTAAGACGTATGTTGCTAAACATGGGCGTTTCGCTCGGGACATCCTCCAACAATCGGAATCTCGAAATCGCTCGCCTAATTTTCGGAACCTCGAAAATGGGAGTCTCGCCCGAGACATCAACGAAACAATGGGATGCCGACAGAGCTCTTGTAAGGCATCTTTTCGGAGCGATCTCGGATGACCGCCAAGATGGCCCAAGAAGCGAACATATTGAAAAACCCATGTGTTTTACACACTTTCGTTGAAAAGTCAGCGTTTCGTCCGAGACATCCTCCCAACAATTCCTCTTCCTCCTCCTCCTCCTCCTCTTCCTCCTCCTCCGTTTCCTCCTCCTCCTCCTCCTCCTCCTCCTCCTCCTCCTCCTTATGTTCTTCTTCTTCCTCCTCCTCCTCCTCCTCCTCCTCCTCCTCATCGTCCTCTTCCTCATCTTCCTCCTCCTCCTCGCCTTCTTCCTACTTCTCCTTCTTTCTCCTCCTCCTCCTCCTCCTCCCTCCTCCTCCCTCCCTCGTCGGTCTTCTCCTCTTCCTCTTCATCCTCGTTCTCCTCCAACTCCTCCTCCTCCTCCTCCTTCTGTTCCTCCTCCTTTTCCTCCTCCTCCTGCTCCTGGTCCTCCTCTTCCTCGTCCTCCTCCCCCTCCTCCTCCTCCTCACCTCTTCTTCTGCTGCTGCTGATGCTGCTCTCCTCCTCTCCTCCTCCTCCTCCTCCTCCTCCTCCTCCTCCTCCTCCTCCCCTTCCTCCTCCTCCCCTCCTCCTCCTCCTCCTCCTCCTCCTCCTCCTCCTCCTCCTCTCCCTTCTTCCCTGGTCGTCGTCTTCGCCGTCGTCTTCCTCATGCGGAGAAGTGGTAAGGATACCCAGGAATATGCTTGTGAACGTTCGGGGGGCGCGTGTCCATACGTATCCCTCGTGAGCGTTCGGAGAGCTCGCCTATACTACATGTGATCGCGATGCTGCTGCAAGTTCTTGTGTAACTCTTCCCTTTCACGCGCTTCCCGTTCATGTCAGGAAAGGTTTTGAAAACGAGCGTTTCGCTCGAGACATCCTCCCAAAATCGTGAAGTTGGGGGTCCTATCTTAAGACGCCGTTTGCTAAGAATGGGCGTTTCGCTCGGGACATCCTCCAAACATCGGGATCTCGAAATCGCTCGCCTAATTGTCGGATCCTCGAAAATGGGCGTTTCGCCTGAGACCTCCTCGAAAAAATGAGATGCCGACAGAGCTTTTGTAAGGCATCTGTTCGGAGCGATCTCGGATGACCCCCGAGATTGCCCAAGAAGCGAAAATATTGAAAAACCCATGTGTTTTACACACTTTCGTTGAAAAGTCAGCGTTTCGTCCGAGACACCCTCCCAAAAAATCATTTTCCTCCTCCTCCTCCTCCTCCTCCTCCTCTTCCTCCTCCTCCTTTTCCTCCTTCTCCTTCTCCTCCTCCTCCTCCTTCTCCTCCTCCTTCTGCTCTTCTTCCTCCTCCTCCTCCTCCTCCTCCTCCTCCTCGTCCTCTTCCTGATCTTCCTCCTCCTCCTCCTCCTCCTCCTCCTCGCCTTCTTCCTACTTCTCCTTCCTCCTCCTCCTCCTCCTCGTCGGTCGCCTCTTTTCCTCTTCCTCCTCTTTCTCCTCCAACTCCTCCTCCTCCTCCTCCTCCTGTTCCTCCTCCTTTTCCTCCTCCTCCTGCTCCTGTTCATCCTCTTCCTCGTCCTCCTCCCCCTCCTCCTCCTCACCTCTTCTTCTGCTGCTGCTGCTGATGCTGCTGCTGCTCCTCCTCCTCCTCCTCCTCTCCTCTCCTCCTCCTCCTCCTCCTCCTCCTCCCTCCCTCCTCCTCCTCCTCTCCCCTCCTCCTCCTCCTCCTCCTCCTCCTCCTCCTCCTCCTCCTCCTCCTCCTCCTCCTCCTCCTCCTCCTCCTCCTCCTCCTCCCTCTCCCTCCTCCTCCTCCTCCTCCTCCTCCTCCTCTCCCTTCTTCCCCGGTCGTCGTCTTCGCCGTCGTCTTCCTCATGCGGAGGAGTGGTGAGGATACTCAGGAATATGCTTGTGAACGTTCGGGGGGCGCGTGTCCATACGTATCCCTTGTGAGCGGTCGGAGAGCTCGCCTATACTACATTTGATCGCGATGATGCTGCAAGTTCTTGCGTAACTCTTCCCTTTCACGCGCTTCCCGTTCATGTCAGGAAAGGTTAAAAAAACGAGCGTTTCGCTCGAGACATCCTCACATAATCGAGAAGTTGGGGGTCGTCCTAAGACGTGTGTTGCTAAAAATGGGCGTTTCGTTCGAGACATCCTCCAAACAATCTGGATTTTAAAATCGCTCGCCTAATTTTCGGATCCTCGAGAATGGGCGTTTCGCCCGAGACATCCTCGAAATCGTGGGAAGCCGACAGAGCTCTTGTAAGGCATCTGGTCGGAGCGATCTCGGATGACCTCCAAGATGGCCCAAGAAGCGAAAATATTGAAAAACCAAAGTGTTTTTAACATGTTCGTTGAACAATCAGCGTTTCGCTCGAGACATCCTCCAACAAAAAGCCTTCGGACGGGTCCTCGAAGGCGAAATTATTGAAAAACCAATTGGGTTTTCAACAGCTTTGTTAAAACCGGAGCATTTCGCTCGAGACATCGTCCAGCAAGTTTTGAACTCGCGCGGACAGTGAACTCCACCTGATATCTTTTGTGGGCGTTCGGGGTAAGAGCGACGTCTAAACTCGCGCGGGTAGTGAACTCTACATGGTATCTTTTGTGGACGTTCGCGGCGAGCGGTGACTGAAAGTTGCGCGGATTGCGAATTCCATTTGGTATCTTTTGTGGACGTTCGGGGCGAGCGTCACGTCGGAATTTGCGCGGATCGTGAACTCAATCTGGTTCTTCTTGCGGACGTTCGGGGTCAGCGGCACGTTTGAATTGGCGCGGATAGCGAAGTCCACCTGGTACCCCGTGTGGACGTTCGGGAAGAGCGCCTACGCGACATGCGACCTTGATGTTGGTGCACGTTCTTGCCAAGCTCTTTGATTTCACGCGCTTCCCATGCGCGTGAGCACGATGTAGTTCCTCGGGCTCCTGCAGCCGCTACGACCCTGCAAATAAAGACACTGAGAAACCAGGCCGTTGAGCACGCCCAGGACAGCAGCAATCGTGTGCCGAAGCATCATTCCCTCTTCATGTTCCCGGGCAGGATCTGGCGACGTCCCGGTCTGACAACCCCGGCTTCCAGGGCCCCAGAGAAAGCCCGCCCCAAAGGTCCAGCCCCCACTTCGGACATGCACTCCAGATTCCATAATAAAGTAGGGGGGGTCACATTCGGGGGGGGGTCTAATTTGAGCTGTCTTGGAGGGTTCGGGGGGTTCTGGGCAAAGGGCCGCCCTTTGATGCATAGTCTGGAGGGGTCTAAAACTTCTCGTCTGGGAGGGTTGTGACCCCCTCCCTTTTATTACGAAATCTGGAGTACCAGAGAAGAATGCCCGTCTTCCGCCGCCCCAGAAGCCGCCGCTCGAAGCGCCATCACGCTCGGTAGGCCTCCGGTGGCCTGCTGGCAGGCCACACGGCACCTCTGGAGGGGAGAGCAGGAGGGAAAGATCGGGGGAGCATATGACAGAACCCTGTTCTCGCTTCGGCCTCCGGGGGGGAGAACTTACCAGGCTTGTTCCTGGGAGCGGCGGTCTGGGACTTGCTCTCGAACAGGTCCTGATCGGGGGAGAAGAAAGGGAGGAATAAGGCTCAGTAGGAGGAGAAGAGGGAGAAGGGGGGGAGGAGGGGACGGGAGGGGCGAGGTGTGGGACGTCGTTGGGGCAAACCTGGAACCCAGCTGCTGTTTTGCCCTGTGCTGGCCCCAGGGCGAGAGGCCAGCGGCGCGGCAAGGCCCGCGGAGCACGAGGCGCCCGCAGGAAGCGGCCGCTCCTGCCGAGATGCTCCCCCATGCAGCTGGAATCCGGGATGTGCCTCCCTCTGCCTCCTCCCCTGCCTCGCTCCCGCCCTCCCGACGTCGGGGGCAGAGCCGTGCCGCGCGGGAAGGCGGCAGAGACGGGGCTGCAGCAGCGGGGACTGGCAGGACTGGAGCCAGCCTGTCGGGCAGGCGCCGCTGCGCCGAGGGCGGCAAGGGCCAAGGTAAACCCAGGGTGGATCAGCCATGCTGACATACACCCTCCCGTGCCAAGTCCTCGAGCCCTTCGCCCTGCGAAGCACTCCTCTTCGCTTCGGACGCCCCCAACTGAGGCGGGAACCCCCTCGGCCTGCCACTTACGATTTAAGCGAGAGCCCCGCTTTGAGAAGGAACCTCCCCCCGTCCATGCAACTGCTGGGCAGCATCTCGAGCGAGAGCCCTGCTTTGAAAATGAGCTGCCCTCAATTCCTCTAGCTGCTCGAAACTTTCGAAACGACTGAGCGCGGCGCGAAGGCGAGAACAACCCGATGAACACCGGCCGCCTTCCGCCCCTGTAGTGAGCTGACGGATGGGAGCTTCTAAGACGAATGTGCGGCGTAGTGCTGAGGCAGGCGGGGGGGTGGGGGGCACACGTTGAAAACCTGCCTCCCCTCACCCCTGCACAGCACCTGGACGCTCTTGAGACGAAGGTGTGCGGCGCTGGGGCGAGGATAGAGGCCTCCCAAATGGGGTCGGAGTCGATGGGGTCGAAGGAAGATCACGCCGCGTCGCCGGTGCATCACCGATGCATCGGCGATGTATCGGCGACCTCAGCGACGCATCGGCGACGTCAGCGTGGAGAAACTCAGGCTCCACATCGAGCCGCATCGCTGGTGCACCGGCAATGCGGGGCGACCCTCCGACCTCCTCTACGTCGGCCCCATCTGGGAGGCCCAGAGAAGAGCCGCATGCTGACAAAAACCGGCCGCCCTCCGAAACCGCTGCTGGGGCTGGCTGCGCTCCGCTCGCGCGGCCGCACCGCGGCCCCGCTCACGCGGCGCTGCCAGAAGTGCCGCCCGCAGGGGCCGGCGCCCGCCCGCCCGCGAGGCCCCGCCAGGCCGTGGCCGCGGCGAGGGCGTAGGTCAGCGCGCACGCGGCGGTGGCCGGCACGCACGCGGCGGCCGCGGGGTACACGTCCGCGGTCTCGAGGAGGGAGCGCGCCAGGAGCAGCGCGAGGTGCAGCGCGGCCATCCACAGGAGCCCGCGCTCCAGCCTCCGCGGGGGGCACCCGCAGGCCGCCGCCGGGGGCTGGCCAGGGCCGCCCTGAGCCTCTGGGGTGGTGCCCGGCCTTTGTGGGCCGCGGAAACGGCAGGGCCGTTTTTTCACCGTTTCCCAAAGCTTGTCCCTTGAGAATGGAAGCGGCAAAACAACGGCGACGGGAAACGGCAACAGAAACGGCTCCAGGATGGGAACCAGAGCCGCAACCGATCAAACAACGGCGACGGAACCGGTAAGAAAACGGCGTCGGAACCGGCAACAAAAACAGCAAAACGGAACCGGTAACAAAACGGCCCTGTCGTTTCCTGGGCCCGCTGAGTGTTCGGCCTGCCCATGCAGGAAAGACGCGCGGTCAGGATGCAAGGGCACTGGGCGCCCATGCCGAGGCTCTTCGAGCGGGGCCGGCAGTGGACGGTGGTTGGGGATGGGCCGAGGACGACAGAGGAGGCAAGGATGCCAGGGTACTCCGACCATCCTTACGGTGAGGGTCGACTGTGTACCCAGACCCCCGACGTCATGATTTTTTCATGACGTCGATCCCCAGCGGTCTGGACCCATTCCCCGGGACCAGGTTTTCCTCCGGAGCCCTTTCTTGACGGTCCCGAGGGCCGGTAAGGGCCCCCAGAGGCCGAAAATGGCGAAAAACCCGCCGTCATGATTTTCTCATGACTCGAGAGTCGACTGTACACGGCAGCTTCGTGCTCCACCCTCAGAGATCGCGGCTTGCCGGCAGCGCAGGCCGCTCGATTCGGGGATCTTCTGACCCGGGTCAATCCAGACCCGGGTCAGCAGGAAACCAAAAACTGCAATGCAGGAAAAAAGAACTGCAACGCAGGTCTTCGCAAACCCGGGTCAGCCAATGTGCGCGGCCGCCTCGCGGCCACGAGCGGCTCCCTAACCCGGGTCAGCCAGAGGGGGTCTTCGCAGGATCCTGCAGGATCTGGTGCCCTGGCTGACCCCCGTTTGCATTGACCCCCGTCTCAAGGCTCCCGATCGATGTCGGCCGATTCCCGGCCACCGGCACGCCAACGCTGTGGCCGTGGATGCGTCAGCACGAGGCGCGGATCCCCCTGTGCAGACCCCCGTGGCCCTGGCCAGGGAGGCGTACAGTCTGAAGGGGCCCCAGGACACACAAATAAATACACACAAATAAAATGATTCCCCATATGCTCCAACATTTGTTTTGGTTGTTGTCTTCCTCCCTACTTCCCATATTTTTGCATATTTTCCTGGGAGTCGACGATTAAGTGTGTCTGTGTGTTTCTTTCCCTCCTGACAGTCGGCCTGCTGAAATGACGAACGATACATAAGGAACGAAGCCCCTCTGCGGCTTCAAAAAAGGCTGGGTGCACGAGAAGGGCTAGAGGAAGAACCACGGAAGGACGCAAGGAGCATCGAGCCCCTTCCGAATCCAAACTGCTCCTTATCTCAGTGCCCCGACTGTATGCACCATGCCAGGGCCCATGATGGCCTCTGGCCAGGCAGCGGTGGTGGTATAGTGCGGGCGCGGCCGCAAGAAACCCTCGCAATAAACCCAACCCTGAGAACCCGCGCGCGAGGTGCACCTGAAGGGAAGCCTGGAGCTCCCTGAACGCAGCAGCTCCCTCAGCGCGTCTGCGGGAAGTCACCGCGCAGCGCGAGGAGCGAAGAAGCCCAGGACACCCTGACACTGACGAAAAGCATGTGGTTTCTTGATGCGCGCCCCCACTGTATGCTGGTGCCCTCTGCGTGCAGCCTCCCCGCGCCCACGTCTCGCTCCGGCCGCGCTGCTGGCCCAGCCTCTCCAGGCGGACCGAGCGCCCGCAGGCCGCCGCCGCCGCCGCCGCCGCCGCCGCCGCCGCCGCCGCCGCCGTCGTCGTCGTCGTCGTCGTCGTCGTCGTCGTCGTCGTCGTCGTCGTCGTCGTCGTCGTCGTCGTCGTGGCCTCCGAGCGGCCCTTCAGCACGTACGACGCCACACACGCGAGCAGGCACCACGCGCCGAAGGCCCGCGCCATGCGCTTGCCGAGCAGGCTCGGCAGCGTGGCGAGGGGGAAGGGGCTGAAGAGGGCGAGGGCGCCGAAGGTGCCGAAGGCCGCGGCGAGGAACGCGTACTCGTTGGCGCCCGGGGCCGCGGCGTCCGGGTCGTCCGTGGGCCTGCGCGGCGCCAGTCGCCAGGCCGAGCCGAGCACGCCGCAGGCGACGCGCCCAGGCGTGGCGCGCGAGCCGCCCCGCAGCAGGGAGCCCCTCCAGGCCCACAGGCAGACGGCGGCGGTGCCCGAGTGCGCGGAGACGGCCAGCGCCAGGAGCGGCGCGGGGTAACGCACGGGGTCGCTCGTGCGCACGACCGCGGCCGTCAGCGCCGGGGCGCAGGCGGCGGCGACGGCGCACCACAGCGACGCTGACGCCAAGCCGAGGTTCAGCCGTCGCGCGTCTGGCTCGGAGAGGCCGGCCCAACCCGCGCCCGCGGCGTCCGCGAGCGCGGACGCGCAGGCCAGGAGCAGGGGCAGAGCCGTGAGAGCCTGTAGCACCCCGATGGCGTTGTGCACCACGCGGTGGGGCTTGTAGGTGGCCAGGGCCCCGACCTGGAGGAGCGCAGAGGCACCGATGTCGAAGGGAAGGATGGAGCCGCTCCGCTCCGCGTCGTCGTCGTCCTCCTCCTCCTCCTCGTTCGCCTGCTCCTCCCTCCTCATTGTCGTCGTCGTCGTCGCCACCGTGTCGTCGTCGTCGTCGTGGCCGTCTTCGTCATGTTCGTCGTCGTGTTCGTCGTCGTGTTCGTCGTCGTCGTCGTCGTCGTCGTCGTCGTCGTCGTCGTCGTCGTCGTCGTCGTCGTCGTCATCGCCACACCGTCCCTCGGGGTGCGCCCTTGCACCAGGCCTCCGCGGCGAATCCAGCCGTGGAGGCGAGGGCCTCCCACCGAGGCCTGGAGAGGCGAAGGCCGGGGACGCGCCCCAGCATGGGCGCCTCGAGGCGCTGACACCGGGCCGACTGCCCCCCTGCGCCGCCGGGCGGGTCGTCCTCCCCTCCTCCTCCGCCGTCCTGCGCCGCCCCCTCGGCGCCCTCCCCTGCCTGCGCCTCGGGCTGTCGCCCGGGGCCTCGTCCTCGCCCCCGTCGTCGGGTCCGCTGCCGTCGCTCCCTCCGCCGCGCCTCCCAGCCCACCGGGGCGTCGCCCGTCTGCCCCTCGGCTCCGCTCTCCCAGGGCCCGTCCGCCGGTGGGTGGGCGCCCGTCGGGGCTCGGCAGGGGCCTCTCGCCCCGTGGAGCTGCTGCCGGGGCTGCGCCCAGGCCCGCCTCCCTGTCCTCTCGCCCCGCGCTCATCTGTAATTAGGCCGGGCGCTCCTTCGCTCCTCGCCCGGCCTCGTTCCTGCTGTCCGTGGTGCCCGTCCACCCATCATGGGGTCGCCAGCCTCTCTGCTCGGCGGACCTCCTTGGTCCATCCGTTGTGCAGCTACCTCGCTCCGCCCACTCTGCTCGCTGCATCTCACCCACGTTGGTCTGTGCACTACATGCATGCCGCCGTGCACGCCATGCCGTTTTCTGCAACCGCAACTCCTCGGACGCTGCTCTCATCAACAACGCCGCTTGATGGTCATTACCCTTAGCGCACCCCGGTATTCTCTTCGCTGAATTGGACCAATCGGCCTGGAAACAAAAAGTGTAACCCTGAAACTAATTCGTGGCAAGCACGTCCCGTCATTATGCACCCGTCGCTTGGAATCATTGGCGCGTCGAAGGACACAAGTGTGTGTGTGTGTGGGTGTTTGTGTGTATGTGTGTGTGTGTGCGTGTGTGTGTGTGTGTGCGTGCGTGCGTGCGTGCGTGCGTGCGTGCGTGCGTGCGTGGGTGCGTGCGTGCGCGCGTGTGTGTGTGTGTGTGTGTGTGTGTGTGTGTGTGTGTGGTGTGTGTGTGTGTGTGTGTGTGTGTGTGTGTGTGTGTGTGTGTGTGTGTGCGTGCGTGCGTGCGTGCGTGGCGTGCGTGCGTGCGTGTGCGTGCGTGTTTGTGTGTGTGTGTGCGTTTGTGTGTATGTATGTGTGTGTGTGTGTGTGTGCGTTTCGTGTGTGTGTGTGCGTGTGTGTGTGTGTGTGTGTGTGTGTGTGCGTGGTGTGTGTGTGTTGTGTGGTGTGTGCGTGCGTGTGCGTGCGTGCGTGTGTGTGTGTGTGTGTGTGTGTGTGTGTGTGTGTGCGCGCGTGTGTGCGTGCGAGCGTGCGTGCGTGCGTGTGTGCGTGTGTGTGTGTGTGTGTGTGTGTGTGTGTGTGTGTGCGTTTGTGTGTGTGTGTGTGTGTGTGTGCGTGCGTTCGCTGCTCACGGCCACAACCCCCCCACTGGAACACCACTTTGTGGTTGAGCCTCTGTCCGCCCAGCGTGCATCTGTACTACGGCTACTGCCCTTCGTCCGCCCCCCAGGCTCCCCTCCCCCCTCTCCTCTCGCGCCCCCCCCCGCTCTCAGTCGGCCCCCCTTCGTCCCCCCACCGCGGCTGCCTCCCCGCGAGTCGCGCTGCGCGGTTCCCCCTCGGTGGGCCCGACCCGCCCTGCTGCTTCCGAGCCGGCCTCCTGCGCACTCTGCCCTCTCTGGCCGTTCGCCCGACTTCGCCGCCAAGCTGCGCGCGTGACCGCGACGCATCAACAAGCGTAAGTGTGTATGTGTGTGAATATGACTTATGGCGGGCGGCTGCTGCTGGACCCTGGGCCGTCTACGAGGGCTCGGGGACTTCTAGACGCGCGCGCGCGATTGCTGCTCCACGACTGCTTTCTCCGCCCTGTCGCTGCGCGCAGGGCCGCGACGCCAGAAATCGTGCATGCGTGTGTGTGTGTGTGTGTGTGTGTGTGTGTGTGCCGCCTCTCCCCGCTCCCATGTGCCCCCCCCCCCCGCCCTTCCCTACCTCTCCTCGCCGCCGCCGGCCGCGGCCGCTCCTCCTCCTCCTCCTCCTCCTCCTCCTCCTCCTCCTCCTCCTCTTCCCTTTCCTCTTCCTCCTCCTCCTCCTCCTGCTCCGCTGCCGTCTGCCTCTCCGCCGCCCCAGCTGCCCTTGCCTCCTCGGGCCTCGGGGCACTGCCTCGCGTCTCCGCGCGCCTCCGCTCGCCAGCTCGGGGGTGCACGCAAGAGCGACCCCAGCAAGAGCCGACCAGCCATACCTGGGGGAGCTGTGGTCCTTACCCCCCTGGGGGAACCCATCGCATCGACGATCTCTCGAGAGGGGTGTCGAAATCGATGGGTCCCCCAGGGGGGTAAGGACCACAGCTCCCCCAGTTGTGGCTGGCCTGAAGAATGCCCTTCGGTGCGTGGCTTTTGCCCGCCCTCGCGTGCGGCGTAACAAGTGGCGGGCCTGCGTGCCTGGGCTTGGCCCCGCAGCGCGCCCCGCAAGCCGCGCACTCAAGGTCACTCCGGGGAAGGGTCCCTCTTACAGTCGGGGCGTTGACCTAAAGGAACCCTGAACAAGGAACGAGCCCCCTTTTTTTACATAAGTGAAACTTCGATTCCCGATCGAAAACCAAAGGAAAACCTGAGGCAAGCTGTGAAACACTTAAGGAACGCGGAGCCCCTCCCCAACGAAAAGGGTTCCTTCTTCAGCGCCCCGACTGTGCCTGCAGCCGACCTATGGTGTCTCCCCCTCCCTCGCCGCCCTGCCCGGCCGCTGCCGCCGCCTCTCTTCTCCGCCGCCGTCCCCCCCCCCTCCGCCGCTCTGGCGGCCGGTGTCTCCTGGTCCCTCTTTGTTCTTCGCCTCGTCGTCTGCACTCTGGCCGCTTCCTGTCGCTGTTGCTCGCGCGATGCGGAGCAAATGCTCGCCGATTTAGAGATATGTATGTGTTTCTCTCTCTCTCTCTCTGCCCGTTCGCCACATGTGCGGATGCAATTTGCGTCCGCGCATTCCGCCGTCGTGCTATCTTGCTTTAACATCGTCGGAAGCAAAAGCGTGCCCCTCTCCCCCCAGGTGACCGCGCACGCGGCCCAGGCGGCCGCGGACGCGGCCCCACAGGCGAGGTACGCCGCCCGCAGCCCCCGCAGCGGCGCTGCTCCACGGTTGATGCCGAGGAGGGGGGCCAGGGAGAGGGGGGATAGGGGATAGGCGAGCCAAGGCCCGAGGCCGGTGCGCGGACGAAGGGGAGGGGCAAGACACGCTTTGAGAACAGTAATAAAAAGCAAAATTGAGCAGACGAGTAATAATGTTAACAAGAAGTAAGAAGAATAATACGATCACTAATGAGACGAACAATGAAACGAAGAAGGCGGAGAGCGCGTGGAACACGTGGAACGCAAGGCGGAGGCCTCAAGAGCGCCGAACCCTGGAAAGGCACGCGGCCAGAAAACTCTCGCCCAGGCCAGTCGCGCCATGTGTATCCAGCTCCGCCCGGGGAAACCAAAAGGTAAGAAAGAATACTGCTACTCCCTGAACCTCTCCCCGGGTGCGTTCTGACCAACATTCCGAGGGCGACGAGGGCCTCCGAGGAGGCCGGAAAAGGGGAACACGAGGGAATGGTAGCGGTATATAGATACCTGTTCCTCGTCTGAGCTTCCCCCTCGCATCCCCGCCCCCTCTTCGACGCCTCCGAGCTCCGCCGCCCTCGCGCGGGCGCGCGGCGCGCAGCGCCGGCGCACGTGCTCCGCACCGCGCTCGGCGCGCGCGGCGCGCTCGGCCGAGCGCTCCGCGACGCCACGGTGCCCGGCAGCTGCCAGGGGGCCACTGGGGGGCGCCGCGGCAGAGGCGGTGACGGCGCTGTGCGCGGCATCTGCGGGGCTCGCGCCGCCGCGGGCGCTCGTGGTGCGCAGGGCTGGCGCCGAGGTGGCTGCAGGGAGGAGGAGGAGGAGGAGGAGGAGTAGGAGGAGTAAGAGGAGGAGGAGGAGGAGGAGGAGGAGGAGGAGGAGGAGGAGGAGGAGGAGGAGGAACGCCAGCACCCATCGGACAGTTCGTCAGCGGCTAGACCTAGCTCGCCGACGTGGCACATTGGACACGCGGGCTGGACTGATCATTAGCTGCGGCAGCAGCCGAGGAGGCGGGAACCGACAACTGGATATAATCGACAGTTAGCGTCGGGAAATCAAGCGATGGGAACGCAGGGATCGGGGGGTGAAACATCGCAATCTCAAGGCGCGAGCAAACCCACCCAATTTCGTCCAGAGTGGGGTGCCTCACGTCCCTATAACTGTCTTGAGTGATGGACCTCCGCCACACCTCAGGCCGTTTGCCTCTCGCCCCCCAGTTAGGGAGGTCAGTCCATTGAAACTCGTTCAACTCAAGCTCAACATGGTTGGCCCACTGGCGGTAAACGTAAGTGATGGGGCCCCCCACTCCGGCAGCCTCTCGAGCCGCTGTCGCCTGATCACATAGTCCAAGCAGCCGCTCCGCAACACCAAAGTCCCGCGGATGCGGCAGCGAGCCCAGTCTCGTAGACGCCGGCAGAGGGGGGGGCTGCCTGAAACCAAGGGCCCGCAGCCTGCACAGCGATGGGTTGAACTCCAGGCCCACCGCAATGGGGACTGAAATAAGAGTTCTCAGTGAGGCCGATCGCTGTATTGGCCAGACCAGACGAGACAATGCAACAACCAGAGCATCTCTGACTCACTCCAAAAAGCCTGGAGCACCTGTGCTGAATAACTCCCCGTTGACTTTTTCAACGGACCCAGCCTCGTGCCAAATCGGCTCGGACACCACGTTGAAGTCCGTTCCCAGGATGTAAGACGAGCCGCCCGAGACAATAAAATTCCCCACGGATGCTGGCGAGCTGGTGTTGCGGTCCGAGGGCCCTCCGACATCATGGCATCGTCGTGGGCCAAGGACGACTGGCGCTCCTCCTGGCACATTTGCCACTGCTGCCATTGCCCTAGCTGGTTGCACACGCGAGCCGGTTTTTGGAAGGGGAAGTTCCACGAGGTGTTGTGCCTCTGGCTCGCGGCCCTCCAGACGACCCACCTGTCGATGGTCATCCTGTCGAAAGCGGCGTCGTCATCCGCGCCAGAGGCAGCGCCGGCGAAGCGGGCGCGGCGCCCCATGGCAACTTCACGCGCGCATGCCCTTGCGCTCGAGCCTGGGAAGGCTGCGGGGGTGAGGAGAGGAAGACGTACATCAGGACTGGACAACGTGGAGGACGAGCCGACCTGGTGTGACTTCTGGAAGGTGAAGTTCCATGGCCGCGCCGCCTGAAGTGCCACTTTCGGCCGTGGCCGCCGCTGGCCCCCCAAACCGATTTACAACCCTGGTCCAAGCCGCATTGCGACGCTCGCTGTATGTACCCAGGATCTTGTAGACGGTGCTCTTGTAGAAGTAGGAACGGAGAGCCCTTGCAACTAGGCAGCCAACCCCTCATCCAAGGGCTCCCAACTTCGCGCTTCGCGCTGCGCGAAGTGCGAATAACTTCGCGCTCTCGCGCCGCCTCCCAGCGGAGAAGAGGAGGATGAGGAGGAATCGGAGCCGAACCGCGAAGCGCGAATGACTTCGCGCCCTCGAGGGCGCCCTTGTCATCGGACCCCAGCTGATACAGTTCACCGTCGCCACCACCAGCCCCAGGCTGTCTGGCGAGGGAAGGGGGGGAAGGGGGGCAGCTCCCGAGAGACTGACAGCGTGGCCAAACGTGGCGGATAACAACCGAAGAGTCAGCCAGAAAGCAAAGTGGGGCATCCCGGCGCGGAGCCGCCCCCCTCAAAACCTGGACTGACACCAGCACGCACTTCAGACCCACCCCGCGCAAGGGGGGGGGGCCATGGGGGCCTGGAGGAGGGCCCGCGCGCGCGCCCGCACGTCGGGGGGAGAGCTCCGCCCCCCGCGGCTGCGTTGGCTCCTCTTGACGCTGCTGCCGCAGCTCCAATCTGCGCTCCGGCACCTCCGGTCGCTGCGGGGAAATGGCCGCCCCCAGCTCCGTAGGCTCCGCCAGCAGCGTCAGCAGCGACGCGGGGAGCTCCACCTTCTGCTTCCCCTGCACCGCCTGGATCTGCCTCTTCAGCTCCGACCCGACAACGTTTTCGGTTCGCCATGCGCTGCAGGAGCGTTCTGTGCTCCTCCTTTGACTTGCCGAGCGCTTCCTCGGCCGCGCTGCACGGCTTCTTGGCTGCCTCTCGGGACTGCGTCGCCAGGTCCTGATTCCTCTGAGCGAGATCCTTCATGTCCGTCCGGGTGAGCTCGACGCCATCCTCGTTGAACAAGTCGTCCTCCGGCGCGAAAGCCATGTCCCCCGACTCGACCATGGCCCGCACAGACACCTGCGCCCGTGGAGCGCCTTTAGGAAGGGGCGCTTTTTCAACCCCCTCTCGATGGGCCTGCGCCGCCAGCTCGCGTGCTTCGTGCTAGCCTCGAACATCTCGTCGACCAGGCGCTGCACCTTGGACGCTGGCTCCCCGACGTCCCCGCGCCAGCGTTCAGGCTTGTCAAGCTCGTTCGTGGCCTTCTTCTCCATCGCCCTGGTACTGCTGGCAGTCTGCTGCACCCGCACCTGGAGGAGGAGGAGGAGGAGGAGGAGGAGGAGGAGGAGGAGGAGGAGGAGGAGGAGGAGGAGGAGGAGGACGAGGAGGAGGAGGAGGACGAGGAGGTGGAGGAGGAGGAGGAGGAGGAGGACGAGGAGGAGGAGGAGGAGGAGGAGGATGAGGAATGGGGGGGCAGGCGCTCTGGGCTGGTCACGAGCCAGCGTCTTCTCCTTGGCCGAATGGTTGGGATGGTGCAGCCACGTGCTGCCCTGCTTCCGATCGATGGACGCCAAGCTTCCCAGCTCCTCTGCCGACAGGCCGCCCACGGGGAGGGCAGCCGCTGGGTCACCACCTGCGCGTTGACCCCACCGTCCGCCATTGCCGCTGCGCCCACGGTCAGGAAGAGCCAGCACATCACCATTACCACACATGCCCAACTGCTGCCACCTGCTGCCGCCGCGCAGGACGGGACGACCTGCCAATGGTTCTTGCAGTGCTTGCAGGTGGGCCCAGTGGCTGCGATTCTTGGCACAGCCGCAGGACGAGCACCGCCATGCCCCTCGAGGTGGTGGGCAGGGCGGCGTCGCTTCCCACCACGGAGCGCCAGGAAACGCCGTGACTGTACGGAAGGACTGGTGCCACTTTGGCCCAGTGGCGCAGCACGCCGCTCTGAAGCTCGTACCAGAAAGATCGGGCTCGCCCCTGCCCGAGCCAGAACGGCTAGGAGGAGGAGGAGGAGGAGGAGGAGGAGGAGGAGGAGGAGGGTGAAGAGGTGCAGGACGTGGCCGATGTCCTGCCCACGAGCCGCCACGCCAGCTCTCTTGTTTGGAGCGTGGCCTCTTCTCTGGCCAGGAGGGCCGCCTGGCCACGAGGGCACTAACGCGCAGGAGAGAGTGAGAATGGCCCAACACCTCGGACGGTGCAGGCTTGAAATGGAATGTGTGCCCGACCTCTGATATCCTGTATTCGTTATATTGGTGCTGTTCCCGATCCTCCCCCCTCTATCTCTCGTCCTCATCCTTCTCCTTCCTCCGCATGTCCTCACTCTTCCTGCAATCGTCATTTTCCTAGTCCTCATCCGATGTGCCAGAACCCCTGGCTGGGGCCCCCGAGAAACATAGAACTGTCTGGGGGTCGGCAGAATGACGAAACCCTCAAGGGCCTAGCAAAGAACGTCGCAAATCTACTACTAGTAACAACGCCGCAGAAACCCGATCAGTGTCAAGAAGACTGCAACGTAGGAACGATCCACTCACAAAATACTTTCGCAATGGCGCGCTCAAACAACGATGGACTGACGGGCGCTCTGGCTATTTTCTCGTCGCCCACTTGTGACCGAAATCACATGCCAAGCGGTAAGGGAAACACAGTCTCAACGACCACAGTGGACTAGAGCCACCGCACTTTCTGCATGCAGCTCGACAGCCAGCAATGGTTCCCGCATGGCGCGATGCAGCTGTAATGTTCAAACTTCCTCGCGCTGCAGCAGCAACTCGGCAGAACCCGGCTCAGATGGTGCAAATTAGGGCAGGGACGTGGCAGCATGGCAATTGCGACAACCAGGCAATACCATCATAATCCGAGAATGGCCAGTGCGCCGCTGCAGCCTGGACCATACCGTGTAGAACAACGGTATTCGGATCGATCGTACACGCATGGTATGCTGCGCGTCACCGACAGTACACCCTGCGAAATGCTTGAGAAATCATGGGTTAAGAAATCCATAGTCTCAGAACTTGAATAAAACCCGGAACTTCTATCAACATCTTGGGACTTACATTGAAACGTTAAGAATGATCGAGACTCTGGCCGAAAACTTCGGTTTTCTTAAGCATCGCATAAGGTGTACGCTGCGGAAGCACTATGAGAACACATGGAGATCATCTGGCAGCGTCACGAACGATCTTAACGTTACAAAGGCGCGGGTTTTTCTCTCACATCGCCCCAGCCGGCATTCGCCCACAGCACGCACACACATGCACAAACACTTCGGTGTACAGCACGTGGCCTTACAATGCTGTCAGACAGGCGAACACACAACAACAGTGGCGAAGACTCGTGTTCAACGGGTTCGTTGCAGCTGGAGCGAACGCTCAATACATGCACACTCCAATGACTACGCGAGTAAACGCACAACAATGAAGCTCGAAACATACGTTCGTTCGACACACCGGCGAACCAGTTTCGCTCCAGCAGGTGTAGGAGGCGGAGGGGGTGGGGGAGGAGGAAAAGCGATCGTGATTCTAGGAACGCGCTGCTCTTCACATTCCGTCCTCGATCCAAATCATGCGCTCACTAAAATATCACCGAACATCGGATCACGATTGGATTGTGGGGAATTGGCGAGATGACATCTGGAATCTGGAAGCGTCAATAGAGCTGGTGAGACAACGGCAGAATGTAAAAATATGCACGGCATAATCTACAACTGGTGCGTGCTAGCTTAGGCGCATCGCGATCGCGATGCTGCGTGTGAACTGCGCCGTGCGATGCGGTGCGATCCTTGAGGATTGCACGGTCGGCACAATCCCCCACAAGCGATGCGGGCTTAGGAGCTGCCATGACAATACAAGTTCAACTCGGAACCAAACACCCTTGTATATCATCACTTGTTAATGGCGGGGACGTTGAACGCGTACCGAGCAGATGTCGATCACTTCGGCGATCCTGGCGAAGAAGAGAAGCATGAGAGAGCAGCGACCGGTGTGGCACGCTTCGCTGCGAGAATCAGCCTGTCTGGGCTCGGACATACATGTGGTCGCTGATCCTGCCTTGCCGATCCGCCTGCTCCTGGGCCTGGTGCTCCTCCCATCTCCACCGTCCTCGCATCGGCCTCTACAGAATGGCCGATAAAAAACGGTGTCGAGACCTCCGCAAAAAAAAATAGCCTGGCAAAGGACCCAACCAGATGCAGTTGTGAATTCGCCGATCTGGCGTGTGAGTTTGAAAGAGCATTAGATGTAGCCTCAGCTTCAGTTCCTGAGGTTCTGCTTTGCTTGGAGGTGGGTGCCAGGGTGGCTCTGCCGGGGTAGGGGGTTGGGGGGGGGGTGGGGCGCTGTGCTGCGTTTTCTGGGGGGGGGGGTCGGGCCGTGGGAAACAGAGTACCACCCCGGACGCCAGAGAGCCCAAGATTGCTGCACGATATTTCGAAGACGGCCCAGATGTACTTTCGGCGGAGCTCCCCGTGGGGCCACGAAAGGCTGGCGGCCTTCGGTGAAGCTCCCTATGGGGTCACGACACGCTGTATTGGGTGTGGCGGACGCATGCGGGCACCCCCACTGAGGCCTTCGGTGGAGCTCCTCATGGGGCCACGACACGCTGTACTGGGTGTGGCTGACTCATGAAGACACCCCCCACTGGGGCCTTCGGTGGAGCTCCCCACGGGGCCACGAAGCGCTGTACCCCCTTCTGGCCCCTACGGTGGAGCTCCCCACGGGGCCACGAAGCGCTCTACTGTTTGGCGGACGCATGCGGGCACCCCCATTGAACCTTCGGTGGAGCTCCCTATGGGGCCACGAAGCGCTGTACTTGGTGTGGCGAACGCATGCGGACACCTCCGCCGGGGCCTTGTGCCACGAAACGCTGCACTGGGTGTGGCGGACGCATGCGGGCACCCCCGCTGGGGCCTTCGGTGGAGCCCCCTGTGATGCCACAAAACGCTGTACTCGGTGTGGCGCACGCATGCGGGAACCACCACTGGGGCCTTCGGTGGAGCTCCCTGTGGGGCCACGAAACGCTGTACAGGGTGTGGGGGACGCATGCGGGCAATCCCGTTGGGGCCTTCGGTGGGGCTCCCTATGGGGCCCACGGAGCGCTGTACTGGGTGTGGCGGACGCATGCGGGCACCCCTTGTGGGGCCTTCGGTGGAGCCCTCTATGGTGCCACAAACGCATGAGGGCACCCGCACTGAGGCCTACGGTTGAATTCCCCATGGGGCCACGACACGCTGCACTGGGTGTGGCGCACGCATAAGGGCCCCCCCCTTGTGAGGCCTTCGGTGGAGCTCCCTGTAGGGCCATGAAGCGCTGTACTTGGTGTGGCGAACGCATAGGGGCACCCCCCTTGTGAGGCCTTCGGTGGAACTCCCTATAGGGCCACGAAACGCTGTACCGGGTGTGGCGGACGCATGCGGGAACCACCACTGGGGCCTTCGGTGGGGCTCCCTCTGGTGCCGCGAAGCGCTGTACTGGGTGTGGCGGACGCATGGGGGCAATCCCGTTGGGGCCATTTGTGGAGTTCCCTAGGGGGCCACGAAGCGCTGTACTGGGTGCGGCGGACGTATGCGGGCACCCCTTGTGGGGCCTTCGGTGGAACTCCCTACGGGGCCACGAAGCGTGTGAGGGGTGTGCAGAAACGGGTGATGACGATGATGACGATGACGATGACGATGACGATGACGATGACGATGACGATGACGATGATGATGATGATGATGATGATGATGATGATGACGATGACGATGATGATGATGATGACGATGATGATGATGATGATGATGATGATGATGGTGATGATGATGATGATGATGATGATGATGATGATGATGCTGATGCTGATGCGGATGCTGATGCTGATGCTGCTGCTGCTGATGATGATGCTGATGGTGATGGTGATGATGATGATGATGAGGAGAGGAGGAGGAGGAGGAGGAGGAAGAGGAGGAGGAGGAGGAGGAGGAGGAGGAAGGGGGAAGCGGGAGGAGGACGAGGATGACTGAACGCGGGGCCCGTCTCTTCACAAAGAGGACCCAACACCACAGGATGCTTGGGACAAAAACACTCTACTCAACACGTTGCCTCGGATGGGCCTGGACGAGGCGCCGTGTCACGTTACTGGCCAGAACTATCGATTCGGGACCATGACTGAAAGAGGGGCCGGGGACACACGGTACACCTCTGCACGTGACCGAAGGTATGGCGCGCTGATTGCGACTCGGCCTCCCGGCCCTCATACTTCTCCATGGCGCCCCCAATCCTTGGGCGCCCGAGTTATCTGGGGTAACTCGGGTCCGGGGTAACTCGGGTTTGGATTCCCGAAAAAGGAACCCGAGTTAGCCCTGACCCGAATTACCCCTGATGATTCGGGGCTCTGGATGCCCGAATTATCCGGGGTAACTCGGGTCCGGGGTAACTCGGGTTCGGATTCCCGAAAACCGAACCCGAGTTAACCCTGACCCGAGTTACCCGTGATGATTCAGGGCTCTGAAATCCCATGGTCCGCTGTGTCACGCAACACGGAAACCTTCGACGAAACAGCTGCAGCACCATTCCGTTCTCCAGCAACCTCAACACAGGGCTCACGGCGGATGATGATGCTGATGATGATGATGATGATGAGGAGGAGGAGGAGGAGGAGGAGGAGGAGGAGGAGGAGGAGGAGGAGGAGGAGGAGGAGGAAGGGGGAAGCGGGAGGAGGATGAGGAGGACTGAACACAGGGCTCGCGGCGGGTCTAACGGGGGCCCGCGGGCGCCGCCCGGAGGTCCTGGCCCCGCGCATGCCAGCATGCCCGGCACACGCCGGGGCAGAGTACTTGCAGCTCGCGGCGCTCCGTCGCGCATTCTCGAAGGGGGGAGAAGGGCCAGAGGACTGGGAGGATTTGGACACCCGAAATGGGTACCGAAAGAATGGGCAACATGCCCAACAACAAATGTTGTCCCGAACCAACAGCGGCCGCTGTTGGGCAGGCGGCCTCCTGTCTCGAATGGACACAGGCCGCGGCGGCGTGGACAGCGAGGCCTGTTCAAAATGAACAGGAACTGCTGTTGGGCATTGTGCCCATTCTTTCAGTACCCATTTCGTGCGTGCAGAGAGGAACGGAAAGGCTGGGAGGGGCGGGGGCCCCGGGAGGAAAGAGGGTGACTTTGTGGGGTCTCCGCCAGGCGGCCGAAATCGCCCTACGGGCAAACGAGTGAACCTCATCCTCTCCCCCTCCCCCTCCCCCCCCTCCCCCTCCCCCTCCTCCTCCTCCTCCTCCTCCTCCTCCTCCTCCTCCTCCTCCTGACGAACTGACGAGCTGAAGGCGCAAGAGTCCGTCGGACGCCGCCCTCCCACCTCCCCTCCTCCTCCTCGTCCTTTTCCTCTTCCTCCTCCTCCCCTCCTGCCCCGCATTCTCCCTCTTGCAGCGCTGCGCAAGCATGTGCGGACGCACGTGGCCGTGCACCCCGTCGGGGCCACGAGCGACGCCATGTGCGGGCACATGCGGTCGTCCGCTACGGGGTGTACGGCCATGTGCGGAGGTGCGGGGCGGGGGCAGGGGGGCATGTGCGGCCTGTTGTGCGGAACTGTGCGGGCATGTGCGGCCGCGCGCGGCCCTGTGTAACCGCGCGGCCATGACCGGCGCCACGTGCGGTCATGCCACGACTGGGGCCAGCAGCTGCAGCTTGGGCACCTACTGCGTCGCCCGATGTATGCAGCGCGTCTCATACATACTGCATAAAAGGGTTCCTGCGCACGCCACGCACATGCGCGTACAGTCGCAGACAACGCTCAAGTTCAGGGGGCCGAACCAAAACAATGGTGGAACAACTCGGAACACATTTCCCACACATGGCAGCACATGTGCACACGCCACTAAATCCTAACGCTCCGATGTCAAACAACATCCGCACATGCGGGGCACATGCCGCGCACAAACCCGCACAACGAGCGCACATGTCGAGCCAACATCGCCCGCACATTCCCGGAAACGGCACCAAGATCACGAGCCGGTGTACAGTCGGAACGTGGTCACAAGCGCGCGGCTAAAAAACTCGAGCCCCTTCGCACAAGGCCCCTTGAAGATACACGAGACGAGGAGCACTCCAACGTGGAGAGCCGAAGCACGAAGAAAATAATGGTACCCCTCTAGGGCTATTATTGTCCTTAATCCTCGTGCTAGCTGTAACAAATTCAGGGTCGAGCCGAACTGTCACCTTCCTCAGCGGAGCGCGAGGGTATATGTCACAATTCCCACCCAACAGATCCGGCGTGAAGTTCTGGATTGTGCGAGTCAGCCAATAAGGCGAAATACGTGGACAATAATTTAAGACTGTTCGCTCTTCGTAGAAAGTGCCGTTCAGCGTATGTGCCCTAAGCCTTCGGTTTTGGCCCCCTTCGTTTATGAATGTACCCCCTTTGGGGGGTGCTCTATATTCATGCCAGCTCCTGGGTAATCCGGGACAGGGTAGCACAACCTGGTCGGGCGGGCGGACCTTGACGGGCGGGTCGGGCGGGCGGAACCTCACGGGCGGGACATTCGAGCGGCGGCCTGGCTGGCTTCTAAGCGTGGGAACGGGCGGAACCTACCAGGTGCGTCGGGCGGGCGGGACCTTCAACTGGGCGGGTCGGGGCATGGCGGGAAGACCCTGTCGGGCGGGTCGGGCGGGCCCTAAAGGGCGGGGTCTCTACCGGGCAGGTCGGGCGGGCGGACCCTAACAGGCGGGTCGCGGCTGCATGCCTGCCTGGGGGTGCCCTGGCCAGGGGCAACGTCAGGGGGGATAGGTTTACAGGGGCGCATGAAAGCGTGATTTCATGATACACATAAATATGTAGCTATGAACTTGTGTGTATATATGTAGTATGCGAGAGGCATCTGGCGAGAGCACGCTGCCACTGCTGCCTTCTCCTCCTTCCTCCCGCCTCCCTCCAAGCTCCTCCTGGCTCCTCCCTCTTCTTTTCTCCTGGGGGAACCAGCGCAATGCCGTCCCACGCGGATCTGATGAGACCTCGTCGTTCCTGGCGGCTCCAAAACAACTGGAACTGACGCCACTCTCGTGGGCTCCTGGGGGTCCAACGTTGTGCGAGCAGACCAGGGCTCGAATTAGACCTCGCCGTCCCTTGGGGTCTGCGAGCTGCGAAACTGGGATCGGGCAGGCCGAACTCCATATCGAATCGCATCGACCGGACCGAAATGGACCCTGAGAGCCCCCACGAAGGTCGTGACTTCTCCCAGCGCGTGGGCCCTGGAGCTGAGAGGCCTCTGGGAGGCTGGCCGCCGTGGCTGCTCACAACGCCAGGCGGCGGCGGCGGCAACGGCGGCAGCCGCGATCACGACGTCGACGGCGACCTCGGAACCGCCCTGCTGCATCGGGAGCGACCTCGGGCCGATCTCAGAGACGATCCCTCGACGGCGTCGCGACGACGACGAGGGCCACGCCGGCGACGGCGCTCGCCCCCCCAGGGGGGGGGCGCCCTGGGCTGCACGCGGCGCGCCCTGGCCCGAACCTGGTGGGCAGGCCTGGCGGCGGCGGCGGCGGCGAGGTTCTCCGCCCCACCCCCGTGAGGCGCGAGGGTCAGGGGGGGGGGAGCGGGCGGGGGGATAGGGGGGGATCAGGGAGGGGGGGCGGCAGGGGGATGAGGGGGAGATAAGTGGGGGGAGGGGGGGGGGGGTGATAGCTAGGGGGGCGGGAGGGGCTTGATAGGGGGGGGCGGAGGGGGGGGATAGGGGGCGGAGAGGGGGGGGGTGATAGTGGGGCTGGAACAAGGGGGGGGGGTGAACACCGGCCTGGAATCGGCGACGCATCGCCGATGGACCGGCGATGGGCCCACGATGGCAACTCCCCGCGCTCCTGGGCGGGATGGGGCTACGGGACCCCATCGGCGATCCATGGGCGATGGGGGATCCACGCGTTTCCCCCCGAGCCTGACCTCCCCGCCTATCGTTGCCCCTGGCCCTTTTGAGAAGCCTGGGAATTGAGGACTTCTTCTTCCTCCTCCTCCTCCTCCTCCTCCTTCTCCTCCTCCTCCTCCTCCTCCTCCTCCTCTTCCTCTTCTTCTTCTTCTTCTTCTTCTTCTTCTTATTCTTCCTCCTCCTCCTCCTCCTCCTCCTCCTCCTCCTCCTCCTCCCCCTCCCCCTCCCCCTCCCCCCTCCTCCTCCTCTCCCCCTCCTCCTCCTCCCCCTCCCCTCCCCTCCTCCTCCTCCCTCCTCCTCCTCGTCCTCCTCCTCCTCTTCCTCCTCCTCCTCCTCATACTCCTCATCCTTCTGCCCCATGGCTGCTCCTCCTTCTCCTCCTCCTTCTCCTCCTCCTTCTCCTCCTCCTCCTTCTTTTCCTCATCCTCTTTCTCCTCCTCTTCCTCCTCCTCCTCCACCATTCCTTTTCCTTGTAGATAACTGTTCACTGTCGCACCCCGAGGCCAGTTTTTAGGGCGGGCTTGGCGTTTCGCCTGAGACTTCCGCACCACTTATTACTCTGACGCCTAAACCTTGGCAACAGCTTTACATATGGAGGGCGGGTCGTTTTCAAAATGTGGCTCTCGCCGTAGCGCGGCGCACATTCGTTTTTAAATGTGCAAGAGCTTCGTGGATTGAGGGCGGGTGATATTCAATATGTGGCTCTCGCCTCAGCGCGGCGCACAGTGTTTCAAACAGTTTACAAAAGCTGCACGGATTGATGGCGGGCGGTTTTCGAAATGTGGCTCTCGCCT